AAAGGCCAAAAGCTCTGAGAGAAGTCTGCCTGTGGGCACAGCCAAGAAGCAATCCTGATCGAAGAACTATATCCTGAGTCATTTCTGATACCAAGTTGTACCCTGCTACTCCCCCAAAAAACCCATAACTGTGAGTATGGTCTGTGAGTTCTGTGTTGTCATTGCAACAAATTATCAAACCCAGGAGAGAAATAGAGAGTGCCATGGGAGGGAGGGATGGTGTCAGAATTGGTAAAAATGTTGGAGGGTGAAGGTATGTTTGACCTCCACCTCAGAAGGATCAGTCTTGGGCTGATGCTGATGATCTTGATTTCTCTCTCCTTGTAAAGTTACAGGAGGGCAGACGCTGCCACGCCATTTTTACAAAACTATTAGAAGAAACAAGGACCTCATGTACTCTTATTCTTGGGATGCCACTTCACGCTACTGTCCACATGCAAACACATTTTTATCCAGGTACAATAATGTATTCTGCTTTGGTCACTGTTACAAGTCGAACGGTGTTCCCCAAGAAGATATGTTGAAGTTCTAACCCCCAGTACCTGTGAATATGACCTTATTTGGAAATAGGATCTTTGCAGATGTACTTAGTTAACATAAGGTCAAACTGGAGTACCGTGAGCACTAATATAATATGACTGGTGTCATTATAAAAAGAGGAGAAGAGACACAGAGAGATACAGATGCAGAAGGAAGAAGGCCATGTGAACATGGAGGCAAAGATTAGAATGATGCATCTATAAGCCAAGGAACACTTGGAAGCACCAGAAAATGGAAGAGGTGAGGAAAAAATCCTTCCCTAGAGTCTTCGAAAGGAGCACGGCCCTGCCAACACCTTGATTTCAGACTTCTGCCCTCCAGAACTGTGAGAAAATACATTTCTGTTATTTTAAGCCACCCACTTTGTGGTAAGTTGCTATGACAGCCCTAGAAAACTAACAGTCACTTAGCACAAAGTTTATACTTCCACATTTCTACGTAATTTTCATAGTTATCCTTTGAAATGGCAGCCCGGTATTCCAACCAATAGACCTATCGCAATTTATTCAGTCCCTTCCTGTCTTAGGCTGGGTTCTCTAGAGAAGCAAAACCAGTAAAGCGTATAGATATATAGATAGAGAGATTTATATCCAGGGAACAGCTCATGCAATTGTAGAGGCTAGAACGTCCCAAGTCTGTGGATCAGGGTAGAGGCTTCTCCCAATTCACACAGCTGCAGAAGCTGGTGAGCCTAAGATTGGCAGGTCGGAGAGCAGGGCTCCCGCTCACAGGCTGTGAAGGTTGACAAATTCCAAGATCAGGAGGCAAGACTGCAAGGTTTTTCCTGATTCATGTAGCTGCAGGGGCTGGCGAACCCAAGATCAGCAGGTCCGAGAGCAGGGTTCCGCTCACAGGCTGTGAAGATCAACGAATCCCAAGTTCAGCAGATAAGCTGACAGCTCAAGTCCCAAGAACCAGAAGTGAGATGACAGGAGGCAGCCACAGGATCCAGAGTGAGCAAAAAGCCAGAATGTCTGCTTATATTCAGATGCAGGCCACGCCCCCAAGGAAAATCCCTTTCATCTGATTGGCTACTCACAGCATATTCAATCATGGGAGTGATCACATATAAATGCTGAGAATCATGGCCCAGCCAAGGTGACACACAGTCTTAACCATCACACTCCCCTATTTTTTTTTGTTTTGCTAGTAGAGATAATTCTGAAATGAACATCTGTGTTTGATTATTGTATTGTATTTAATACTATTAAGTGTAATTAGAAATAATAAAGTTACATTTCTTTGAAAGTCTCTAGTTTGCTCTTCTGCTCAAATGGACAATTAACCCAAATTCGTAAAAGGAAGCATATATGGACAAATAACACAAAAGAAATATAATAGATTTGAAACGGGCTATGTGGAAATTTCACATTTATTGTTTATTGCCAGCAGTACAGGCCTAGCTTCCTGGGTATTGTGGTACTGTTAATGCCTTGCTTGCACAGTTCACTTTTGCACGCTCCCATGATTTCAATTTATTTTCCTCCTCTCCTCCCTTTTGCTTTCCCAGATTTTAAAGTTTAAGTTTAACCTAAGTTTCTCTTTGGGAGGTAGACAGACAAGTGCTGAACAAGGAAAAATCATCTTGTAGGTGAAACCAGGACGGCGTCAGAAGGCCAACGTGTCTGGAACAAGGCCATTGTGCCCACCTCAAAGGGGAGCTAACATCCCACCGATTCTTCGGACCCTGACCCTGTCCCGATAAAATCCTCTGATCAGTCTCCAGAGTGGGAGGCAGATTTTGGAGGAGCTCGTTCCCCTCTGTCTCCTGTATATCGATATACAATAAAACCCTCTTGCTGCTCACCTCACCCCATCTCAGTATCGGCTTCTGCGGCAGGCGGCTCTGACCCGCCATTGGGGTAACAGATTCAGGCCATAGCCTGACTTGGTTTCCCAAACTCCTCATTTCCAGGGACTGGTGTCAGATAATGTTTTTCCTCTCCTTGGTGGAATTAAAGGCCCCTGGGTGGTGCAAATAGTTTGTGCTCAACTACCAACCTAATGCTTGGCAGTTCAAACCCACCCAGTGGTTCCACGGAAGAAAGGCCTGGTAATTTGCTTCCATAAAGATTACCACCAAGAAAACCCTATGGAGAAGTTCTATTCTATAGCACATGGATTGCCATGAGTTGGAATTGACTCGACAACAGGTTTTGGTGCAATTGGGAAACTTTGGTTTTGGTCTTGGATAAAATCCATGCTGTCCGACTGTCACTGGTAAAACACCAACGCATATCTTATCAACATACCCAAGGAAAATGTGCTCTTGCTCTTGGAGAAAGTCTGCATGGTCCAGAGGCCACAGGACAATAAATCCACACCATCCAGGACAGAGTGAGCTAGTTCTGCCGTGATTAGCACCCACTGAGCAGGACTGAGGTGCCACCTGGGAGGCAAAGCACACCTACCTCCTACCTGAACAAAAATGGAGAACAAAGAGACAGGGGCTCCGCAGCAGCCTCGCACAGGGAGGGGGTGAGTGTCAGCAAATAGTCATCGCCACTGTCCCTGTCCCACCACATGAGGGAGCTCGATGGAAAGAGGGGAGGGCTCCTGGAGGGCTTCCAGCAAGGAGGGAGGGCACTGACCTGAAAGCGCTTCCTAGCCCTGGCTTCCAGGGGGTGCCAGCCTGGTGGAGGGGAGGGAGCAGTGGGAGGGAAGCGTCCATTCCCACACATCGCAGCTTGGACACAGGGTGGGAGTGTGGGGTCCTCCTCTGGTGAAGGGCTAGGAGACGGAAGGACACTAGAGAAGGTGAGCTCCCCCCCGCCTACCCCTACCCTGTTCCCCTACCCTATTTGAGGAGAGTTCGCCTCTAAAGATGCCCATATCCTGCCCTTCTCTGTCTGTCTGGTAACTGTGTGTGTGTCCGACTTAGGCCTGTAGGCGGTCAGGCAGCTGCTGAATCCTGGCAGTGAGGGTATGGTGAAGGTGAGGGTGGGAGTGAAAGTGTTGGTGGGGGGAGGGTGTGGTGAGAGTTGGGTGAGGGTGTGGTGGGGGTGAAGGTATGAAGGCGTGAGGATATGGGTGGGGGGCATGCTTGAGGTGAAGATGTGGTGCAGGTAGGGGTGTGGTGAGGGTGGGGGTGAGGGTGAGGGTGTGGTGTGAGGTGGAGGTAAGCGTGTGGTGGGGGTGAAGGTATGGTGGGGGAGAGGGTGAGGGTGAAGGTAGGAGTGAGGGTGTGGTGGGGGTGAAGGTATGGTGGGGG